GGGGGGGGGGTGAAGAAAAAGAAAAAAAGAGGCTGATCCTGAAGAAAAAAGTTGTGATTAAATTGCTTTCCTATTTTATTCTTTGTGTTTGTGTGCGCGCGTGTGTGTGAAGCACTGAAACGGGCTCTGCAAACTCCCACTCCTGAAAAGGACTGAGCAAAGTTAGTAACGTTTCCACCTAAACCCTGGCTTAGAAAAGTTTCTTTTGAATGTTTTTCCGTCGCTCTGCCTTCAGGAATGAAAATATAGAGCATTTCAAAAGTGTACTGACGCTTTTCTGAGGTATTAATGGTGCTGCCCAACTTGTGTTTAGAGTCTCAAGCTGTCTGTGTGTAATATGAGACACAAGCCACAAACTGACAGACTATATTTAAAGCCACAATGTGTTTCTGCTCCTGGAAACTTAGAAACGTGGGCTTAAGGACAAGCAAACTAGTTTCTCTGCAAGAGAGGAGGGGAGAGGAGGGCAAGTCCTCTGCTGGCATAACTCTGCATATTTCAGTAAATTTGGAAAGAGAGAATTTGGCCACAACAGTGAAGTGAGTGCAGAGGCTTTACTGCAGCGTGTCACTGTTCATTTTGGGACAGTAATAAAAAGAAAGCAGAGGGGAGGGGGGTAGATTCTGATTTGATAAGCTGAGAAAAGTCAGTTGGAAAACTCCAAGTTTTTGATGCTGCAATAGCAGCTTCATAACTCTTCTATTTCTTTAATATAATCTTTCTTGCTTTAATTCAATACAGTAATTTTGTGTTATTTTTTAATAAACAAACTGCCAATAGCAGAATTGTTTGTCAGCCTGTGGTATTGGTAATGAAGGCAGAAAATACAGACAGCATTGCTGGGAGCTGCCTGCAATCAGGGTTTGATCTAGAGAACGCTGTAAGAATATTTGGTCTGTATGGATGTCGACACTGACAATGTTTTCCAAGCTCTGAATGAGGCAGGCTGATCCAGCAGAAATGACACAGAGTGAGCAGCATCTCTGGAATCTCAACCACCAATTTCTATCTACCCGTTAATCCTTTTTGCAACTTCTAACCAACAAGAAAGATTAGATGCTAACACTATATTAAATTTTATTATCTTTTATTCAGCAGTTTAGAATATGATAGCTTCTATTGGTTTTTTACAGCTTGTTTTCTGTTCTTGATAGGAAGAAACATGCAGTCTAGTTCAGGGTTCTGAGAGTTTGGGTTTGGAAAAGCTTGAGTAAATGACTGCTCTTGGTGCTCTCCAAATGTGTGCAGGAGGGTGGTTATGACTCACTGAGGTGCATTTTGCTGACTGTGCAATATCGACAAAGGTCCAGACCCAATCTTGTATCTTTAGTGACAGGCTTACCCAGGTGACAAGTCCAGAACCACCTCTGCAGTCCTGAGTACATTACAAATTACATCTCTAACAGACCCAGGTTATCAGAGGACCCTATGAAAGGCCCTAGTGTGGATCTGGATGAGGAGCTAGTACACTGTAAGGCCTTTTGTCTGTTCATAATGAAAAAAGGCTGATGCATCTGGTTCTCTTGTTTTGTTTTTTTTCCAAAATCTAGGCAGGAAATCTCAGCTTGAATAATTTTAAAATCATATGATTGTCAGTGAAAATAAATGGCTTGCAATCTAGCTAGAAGTAGTATTCTGACTGAAAAAATAGTGACTACTCTTTATTTGCCCTCATAATTTCCCTTATTGATTCAGACAGCATGTTCTTGTATTTTGTTTCAGTCTGCCTCTCTGTGTTTTGTGTGTTGGTTTTGAAATACATGGATCAAATTTACAGATTAAGAAAAAAATTAAATTAGAGCAAAGTCTGACAGTACTATATTCCTTTATAAGGGAAGTTTGGTGCTTTTTTTTTTTTTTTTTTTAATAATGATTGAGGTTTTGTGGGTAGGTCTTGTGGAAAAGGGTCTTATTTCTTAGTTAAATTCCAGCAATTTTTGCAAGAAACAAGATAGTGAAAGATCTTGAAAGATATTGACAGGCACTGCACAGCATGGACAGCAGACGTTTACCAGAGAGGCAGTGTAATTGGGAAAACAGGTCTGCTTCCTAACCATAGCTAAAATCTTTGAAATGGGAGTGAAAATGCATACAGAATCAGCAAAAACCTTTGACTATACTGAACATAATAATTCTTTACCTGCAAGTGAGACCACAGAGAAGCTGCCTACTGATGTAAACTGAACAGTGTTGTTACCTAATTGCTCATGTTCTTTGCTTATCTCCTTGTATTCACTCGCAACTGATAAGGAGTTTGTATTCATTCTATAAATACAGTATGATCTTGGCAATCCAGGTGGGAGCAGACTAGTGTTTCAGATTTAAAATATTCAACTCTGTGAACTTTGCAAATGTATTCTGGCTCTATACAGGGATGACACATCATATAAATTCTGGCTCTTCTGATGCCTGGCTCAGATATCCCATGGCTCTGAGTGGTCTCTGTATACTTAACAGAGAAGCAAGGGAGCCAATAGTTCAGCCTGCTGATGTTAGGCAGTGTGTGTACATTGACTCCATTGTTCACTGTTACTGGACATTTGTGTGTGTTTGGAATAAAATGGAATATCTAAGTAAAGAAATCTGCTACCAAAGCCAAAAACGGAGTTGAGCTACAATTTTGTTGGCTGGCCTTCAATGCAATATATTTGCTGTGAATATGACTCTAGTTTCTTTTATTTTTTTCCTTCTGATATAGAAGGG